TATCCCAAGCATCCACCTAAAGCAGCACCTGCCATGTAACAGGCAATCAATTAAATTTTACTCAATGAATGAAGTTTAAGTTATAGACTTCAGAAGGTGTGATAGTCAAAAGCTCTAAGTTTTTATAAAGGTTATTCTTCATAACTCTTGGACCTTGAAACAATTATAATACCTTCTATTTTACAATAACTTTTCTTTCTTTTTTATCCAAAGGGTTTCTATTTTATTATTATTTTTTTCCTTTTTATTGAATGTATTGGGGTGGCACTGGTTTACAAAATTACACAGGTTTCTGGTGCACAATTCCACAACACATCATCTGTATACTGTATTGTGTTCACCACCTCAAATAATAACCTGTCTCTTGTACTAATGCAAAAGTAGGAAAATACAAGCATCACATGAGAAGTATAATCCCATTTTCAAAAAAAAAAAAATGCGCCGAACCGGTTTGGCTCAGTGGATAGAGCGTCGGCCTGCGGACTGAAGGGTCCCAGGTTCGATTCCGGTCAAGGGCATGTACCTTGGTTGCAGGCACATCCCCACTGGGGGGTGTGCAGGAGGCAGCTGATCGATGTTTCTCTATCATCGATGTTTCTAACTCTCTATCCCTCTCCCTTCTCTGTAAAAAATCAATAAAATATATTTTTAAAAAAATGTCTGTGAATGTGTGGAAGGCTATCAGAAACATGTTAACATACCCTTGGGGGGTGGGCAGGCTACTAGGGCAAGTTTTCCTCTTTTCCTCCTGTAATGTCCAATAGATTGTTATTGCTGCTCTTGTACAATGGCCATGCATGTAATTGTTTCTGTTTAAAAACACAACAAACTATTTCCTTTCCTAAAGAGACATCTATGTAATGATAAAGGCAAATAGCGTCTCTTCTTTGAATTCCTGAAGCCTAACAAGCTCTAGGCAGGCCTCCTAAGTGCCTTTTGGCAAAAAATACGCAGCACAAGCAGCTTTGGGTACGTGGCGACCAAACCACGGTTGCAAAATCACAGCTTTTAGTAAAATGACGAATCGTTTATCTGCTCATTCCGGCAGGTTCGCCTTCTAAAATGCAGCATTTAAAACATCAGGCAAGTTTGCATCTGCATTAACAACAAATGAAACTACACCGAATGCCCACTTGGAAGGCCAGCGTCATGCATCAGGCAGAATCACCGAAAATGCGAAACCGCACGAGAGGTCCCTTCCTCAGCTGCGCAGCCCAGGCGGCCGGACCCCGGCGCTTCCCGAACCCGAGTTCGCGTCCCGGAACCCCTCCCACTGGGGTGCGATCGGGGCGGCAGCCGGCTTTCCGGACGCCAAAGGGACCGCGTCCGGCCAGTGCACGCCTCGATCCCGCGACCTGTCAACGCAAACGGGGGAAATCAACCCGCGTCTACACAGAGCTCCCAGCTGGGGACGCCAGGCAAAACCGCCACGATTTGGGCCACGCATCCCCCCACTCACCTACGGGCGCTAAATTCTGCGAAGCCCCAGCTTGCCCGCCGATTGGAAGCTGAACTGACACCACCGAGTGCTCCCCTCA